TCACTGATCATTGTTAGATGGACATGGTCAAGAAACAATGCTACGGGCAATGCCAGGATTGGTGGTGTTATTAATTATCAATCTGGCTCGTCNTCATTTTCAAAGAAGAATACTTCTTCTCAAAGTATATTTCCTTTCACTGATCATTGTCAGATGGACATGGTCAAGAAACAATGCTACGGGCAATGCCAGGATTGGTGGTGTTATTAATTATCAATCTGGCTCGTATAATGGGATAATGTTGGAGAATAATCAACACCCATGTGACCTAATCTGTAGCAGTTGTTGGAGAAATCTTTTGGTAACCATTTTGAATTCCAAATTCCAACTCCATCGACATCAGTTAGAAGATTATCACATCAATTTGACCCGTAATAAATCCAATTATTGAACATCAATTTATATTTTTTGTAAATAGTAATCATCATAATTAGGGATGATAAAATATGACATAGTCCGTTAACACGACACAAAATTAGAGGGTTTAACTCTTTCTTAAACTACTTGTTTTTGTAAACGAGTGAGTCAAATACGACAAGATTACTGAACGAATCATTGAAGCCAATCGAAAAAAAATACACGATATAGACGACACGAAAAATATACCAGTTATATATGATTTATAGAATACACGAACTTGATATAATATGATTTGTTAGACATGAATTAATAAACGAATCAAGTATGAGGGAAGTATTTTTTTAATACGAATCTACTAAGAATCGACATAAATCTGTCTCATCCAACACAATTGACAGATATAATCGTAATTATGTTAACCAAAGTCTAATATACAACCTTATCTAATTTGATTCCTTAATGATTTGGTTTACCAAAAGCATTGGGCCTTACATTAACATGTCTTTTGGAANCAAATAGATCAGTTGTTATCAACATGTACAAAATAAGCAAAACAACAAGCAATCATACTTATATATAGGTTTGCAAAGGAAACTCTTCTTATTAGCATCAAGGCTATCAATCAAATTATATTCATTGTCTCTAGCTGTTTGGTACTTGAGAAAGTGATGAGAGAAATGGGGCTGACCACTGCCAACTTTGCACTTATCGGAGGTTGTCGCCGCTTGTTCAGGGAGGAAGACGATGCTCAAGCTACTAAGAGAATTAAAAGGCGACGAAGATCTCCCTCGGGCTTTGAGCCGATCTGCAATGATAAGCAGGGAGATCAACAGCAGCCACAGGTCTTGCAAGTTGATCAATCCAACATTACTACTACTCCTCCTACTACAACTGTGAAGAGAAGTTCGAGATTTCGAGGAGTCAGCAGGTCTGATATACATAAAAGCTTCAATAGTTTCTGTTCTAGTTTNTTAGATGTTTGGTGTCCCGAATGTAATTGCAAGCAACATCTAAGTTTATAGTTTGGACAAACATGTGTTTTTGAAACTACCAAGTAGAACATACAATGGATTGATTGTTATTCTATCGATGGATTCGAGATATTTTGTTCATTCGGGCCTTAGAATAATTTATCTTGGGCCAAAATTTGCGATTTGAACTTCATGACACCCTCTTATCCTCGAACCAAATGAACNTATTTTGTTCATTCGGGCCTTAGAATAATCCCATCGAACTTATCTTGGGCCAAAATTTGCGATTTGAACTTCATGACACCCTCTTATCCTCGAATCAAATGAACATTTTTTTAAATGAATGCACACAAGAAAATATATATAATTTTGAACATATTTTATCTAATATAATACTGCAATCATAAGAAATCCTTCGAGGTGGTTCAGTGGTTGCGCCTGTTAATTGATAACTCAGAGGTTTCACGTTCAATCTCTTCTCGCACCCTCTAAGAGTTAGTCATTCTTGTCATTTTAGGAACATAACTCAAATCACGATAGTCAGTCATAGATCGAGAGCGTCTTCAGCGCAAACTTGAACATCCTGTAACAAAAAAAAAACTATAATCGTAAAAGTCTAAGAATACTAACAAGTTCAAGCACCATCTTCACAAAGAGGTATGATATANTTTTATCTAATATAATACTGCAATCATAAGAAATCCTTCGAGGTGGTTCAGTGGTTGTACCTGCTAATTGATAACTCAGAGGTTTCACGTTCAATTCCTTCTCGCACCCTTTAAGGGTTAGTCATTCTTGTCCTTTTAGGAACATAACTCAAATCACGATAGTCAGCCATAGAGTTCAAGAGCGTCTTCAGCGCAAACTTGAACATCCTGTAACAAAAAAAAAAACTATAATTGTAAAAGTCTAAGAATACTAACAAGTTCAAGCACCATCTTCACAAAGAGGTATGATATATATATATATATATTATAGTTATTGCCTGTGCATGAAAGTACAGAGTAATAAAAAATGATAAACAATAAACATATTTGTATTTATTTCTAAAATCAAATTACAAATATAGAAAAAAGTTAAAAGAATTTAAACATCAATTTATAGTGGGGGTGAGAGGTAGTGAGCGACAATGGTGGTGGTAGGAGACGATGATAGTTGTGGTAGGTGACAATGACCGTGGTGGCTGCGGCGGTGGTAGTGGTGGTGACAGTGATGACAACGATAATGATAGTGATAGTGGTAGCAACGGTGATAATGGTGGTGGTGGCGGTGGCGACGATGGCGATGATGGTGGTGGCGGTGACAACGACAACGGTAGTGGGNATATATATATATATATATATATATATATATATATTAGTTATTGCATGTGCATAAAAGTACAAAGTAATAAAAAATTATAAACAATAAACATATTTGTATTTATATCTAAAATCAAATAACAAATATAGAAAAGAGATAAAAGAATTTAAACATCAATTTATAGTGGGGGTGAGAGGTGGTGAGCGACAGTGGTGGTGGTAGGAGACGATGATGGTTGTGGTAGGTGACAATGACCGCGGTGGCTGCGACGGTGGTAGTGGTGGTGGCAGAGATGGCAACGATAATGATAGTGATAGTGGCAACAACGGTGATAGTGGTGGTGGCGGCGGTGGCATTGATGGTGGTGGCGGTGACGACGACAACGGTAATGGAGTAAGAGTGGTGGCGGTAGTGGCATCAGTGGTGGTGATGGTGGCGGTGGCGACAATGGTGATAGCGACGACGGCGATGAGGGCGGTGGGGACAATGGTGGTGGGGGTGGGGGGTAGTGGTGGTGATGATGGGGGTGTTGGTGATTGTAATGGCGGTGGCGGTGGTAATGGTGGTGGTGGTTGTGGTAAAGGTAGTGGTGAGACGGTTTCAAATGCTATTTTTTAAAAGTATTTATGATAAATAATTTTTAAAAGTATTTTTAAAAAATCAACTTCAAACACACCCTTAGTGGTTTATTTTTCTTATTATATTTAGGATGTTAATATTAGCTGTTAGATTAACTTTAAAATAAAATTTAAAGAGATCTCAATCGCGAGTAATAAAAGTCATTTTGTTTATCTTTTGAGATTTAAATTGTAAGTTATTTTATTTTATATATATATATATAAACATGTAACCAAATGCACCTCAAATGCCTATTTTTGACAAGAGTAATGCTACATGGACTTAAAAAGTAGACTTAAAAACTAGACTTGATAATCTCAATCATTGATTTCACTGTGGATCCCAGCATTTATTGTGACCTATTACCTATTCAATGGTTGAGATTATCAAGTCTAATTTTTAAGTCTACTTTTTAAGTCCATGTAGTATTACTCTTTTGACAATAGATGACTAGAAAAGTAGAAAGGGCCAAGCTCCGATCCGACATTATTAAAGGGAAGAGGGACGGTGAGGTTTCAACCTGCAACTACAAAATCCAACAATGGGGGTGGTATCCATTAGGCAGCAGCTAACCTCCAAGTCCAATATTTTCTTACTTTGTCATCACCCACGTCAAAATTCTGAAATTTTCACCCCAGCCAAACAAGCTTCGAACATGAACCTAACCCGGACGAAGAATCCTAGGAATAAGCTACAACACAACTGCCAAACGATAACATACCTGTTTGTCTTGTAATAACACAGACGACAAGTTCATGGATAAGTCTTATCCCAGCAAACAAAATCCGGAGATAATGTTGGGGCTTCTTGTTCAGAATAAGACAAACTGATCCATTGTCCACTTCGAACTGACCGAAACATCATATAGCTTTCTGGGGTTGTTCTCTAATTTTGATAAACTGGTTTAAGTTTGTTCTTGGATGACACAATCCGTAAATCCGTTATAATATCGGTAATTTGAATCCGAATCTGTTATATCATATTTCATAGATATGAATTTGACAAGCCTACCATGAGTCATACCAATTATAATCTATCTAACACTACAGATAGGAAATTGATTTCTCAACTTATAAAATCAATACATTTTCTTATACAATTATAGAAATTGAATTCTAAACAGTACAAACTTTATAAAAAAAAAAAAAAAATCGCTTATAAACATCATTTCTCTACACGGTCTTTCAATGTTAGATAACTCAATCAATACATTGTCCAATATCAAGCAACTCCACTAGTTCTCACATACGTCTCTCTTATTTTTTTTCTCTATTCAAATATAAATATTACACAATCAATATTCGATTTTTGATATCTTTAGACACAAAATTACTGTTAATGCATCTCTATGCTACATTTACGCTGTTCTAGTTTAGGAAAGTGTAAGACCTTAGTCAAACAACTAGAACTGTTGGGTAAATTTTCTTCAATGGCTTGAACAAATCCCAAGTTTAAATGAAGAAACCTTGATAATATCGATGTTGATGTAATAATATCATATAACCTGACCTTTGGGCTCCTCCATAATTGGCTACCTAAATGCAGATAATTCAAATGGTAGTAGAATCATCGACCCCCTTTTTGTTTGTGTTACAAATAGATCAGTTGTTATCAACATGTACAAAATAAGCAAAACAACAAGCAATCATACTTATATATAGGTTTGCAAAGGAAACTCTTCTTATTAGCATCAAGGCTATCAATAAAATTATATTCATTGTCTCTAGCTGTTTGGTACTTGAGAAAGTGATGAGAGAAATGGGGCTGACCACTGCCAACTTTGCACTTATCGGAGGTTGTCGCCGCTTGTTCAGGGAGGAAGACGATGCTCAAGCTACTAAGAGAATTAAAAGGCGACGAAGATCTCTCTCGGGCTTTGAGCCGATCTGCAATGATAAGCAGGGAGATCAACAGCAGCCACAGGTCTTGCAAGTTGATCAATCCAACATTACTACTACTACTCCTCCTACTACAACTGTGAAGAGAAGTTCGAGATTTCGAGGAGTCAGCAGGTCTGTTATACATAAAAGCTTCAATAGTTTCTGTTCTAGTTGTGTGTAATAAATCTTTGTTATTGTTTTCTTGGGTAATTAGTACATTTTATTTTTGAAAAAGAAGATATACAGTATAGTTCAAAACATACCCAATGGGCATACGGAGAAATTCTATAATCCATTCTACCAAGAGAAAATAGAACTCACAACACAGTAATGTGTGCCTCAACAGGCATCGATGGACAGGACGTTACGAAGCTCATTTATGGGACAAAGGGTCCTGGAATCCAACACAGAAAAAGAAGGGAAAACAAGGTTGGATGTTCTACACATTGCTAGTTTCAAGCGTTCATAATCAGTTAGCTTTCCTATTCTACTATTACTGATTGCTTGTGCTTTATTTTTTTTCTCTGATCATCTGATGGTGCATTGAAAAAAATTTCGGGTGGAGCAGTTTATCTTGGTGAGTAATTCGATTGCAAGTAATTTGAAGATTTTTTCACTTTTAGAGAGAGAGAGAGTACTTATATGGGCAACACTTAAACTTTTCTGTGGCTAATTTATGATCAGGAGCTTATGATGACGAAGAATGTGCAGCAAGATCCTATGATTTGGCTGCAATCAAGTACTGGGGAGCATCAACTTTCACAAATTTCCCGGTATAGTTATCATACGATAACTTGATAGTTTCGTATTTTTGAGGGGTTAATTGATGGGGGTGATGGATCAAAGACTGATTAATTACTCATTTTTCTCAGGTTTCTGATTACAAACAAGAGATCGAGATTATGGAGAATCTAACAAGAGAGGAATATTTGGCTTCATTAAGAAGGTNCGGTGGCGGTGGTGGCGGCGGCGGTAGTGATGGTGGTGATTGTGGTAAAAGTAGTGATGGGACGGTTTCAAATGCTATTTTTTTTAAAATATTTATGATAAATAATTTTTAAAAGTATTTTTAAAAATCAACTCCAAACACACCCTTAGTGGTTTATTTTTCTTATTATATTTAAGATGTTAATATTAGCTGTTAGATTAACTTTAAAGTAAAATTTAAAGAGATCTCAATCGCGAGTAATAAAATTTATTTTATTTATCTTTTGAGATTTAAATTGTAAGCTATTTTATTTTATATATATATAAACATGTAACCAAATGCACCTCAAATGCCTATTTTTGACAAGAGTAATGCTACATGGACTTAAAAAGTAGACTTAAAAACTAGACTTGATAATCTCAATCATTGATTTCACTGTGGATCCCAGCATTTATTGTGACCTATTACCTATTCAATGGTTGAGATTATCAAGTCTAATTTTTAAGTCTACTTTTTAAGTCCATGTAGTATTACTCTTTTGACAATAGATGACTAGAAAAGTAGAAAGGGCCAAGCTCCGATCCGACATTATTAAAGGGAAGAGGGACGGTGAGGTTTCAACCTGCAACTACAAAATCCAACAATGGGGGTGGTATCCATTAGGCAGCAGCTAACCTCCAAGTCCAATATTTTCTTACTTTGTCATCACCCACGTCAAAATTCTGAAATTTTCACCCCAGCCAAACAAGCTTCGAACATGAACCTAACCCGGACGAAGAATCCTAGGAATAAGCTACAACACAACTGCCAAACGATAACATACCTGTTTGTCTTGTAATAACACAGACGACAAGTTCATGGATAAGTCTTATCCCAGCAAACAAAATCCGGAGATAATGTTGGGGCTTCTTGTTCAGAATAAGACAAACTGATCCATTGTCCACTTCGAACTGACCGAAACATCATATAGCTTTCTGGGGTTGTTCTCTAATTTTGATAAACTGGTTTAAGTTTGTTCTTGGATGACACAATCCGTAAATCCGTTATAATATCGGTAATTTGAATCCGAATCTGTTATATCATATTTCATAGATATGAATTTGACAAGCCTACCATGAGTCATACCAATTATAATCTATCTAACACTACAGATAGGAAATTGATTTCTCAACTTATAAAATCAATACATTTTCTTATACAATTATAGAAATTGAATTCTAAACAGTACAAACTTTATATCAAAAAAAAAAAAAAAGCTTATAAACATCATTTCTCTACACGGTCTTTCAATGTTAGATAACTCAATCAATACATTGTCCAATATCAAACAACTCCACTAGTTCTCACATACGTCTCTCTTATTTTTTTTCTCTATTCAAATATAAATATTACACAATCAATATTCGATTTTTGATATCTTTAGACACAAAATTACTGTTAATGCATCTCTATGCTACATTTACGCTGTTCTAGTTTAGGAAAGTGTAAGACCTTAGTCAAACAACTAGAACTGTTGGGTAAATTTTCTTCAATGGCTTGAACAAATCCCAAGTTTAAATGAAGAAACCTTGATAATATCGATGTTGATGTAATAATATCATATAACCTGACCTTTGGGCTCCTCCATAATTGGCTACCTAAATGCAGATAATTCAAATGGTAGTAGAATCATCGACCCCCTTTTTGTTTGTGTTACAAATAGATCAGTTGTTATCAACATGTACAAAATAAGCAAAACAACAAGCAATCATACTTATATATAGGTTTGCAAAGGAAACTCTTCTTATTAGCATCAAGGCTATCAATCAAATTATATTCATTGTCTCTAGCTGTTTGGTACTTGAGAAAGTGATGAGAGAAATGGGGCTGACCACTGCCAACTTTGCACTTATCGGAGGTTGTCGCCGCTTGTTCAGGGAGGAAGACGATGCTCAAGCTACTAAGAGAATTAAAAGGCGACGAAGATCTCTCTCGGGCTTTGAGCCGATCTGCAATGATAAGCAGGGAGATCAACAGCAGCCACAGGTCTTGCAAGTTGATCAATCCAACATTACTACTACTACTCCTCCTACTACAACTGTGAAGAGAAGTTCGAGATTTCGAGGAGTCAGCAGGTCTGTTATACATAAAAGCTTCAATAGTTTCTGTTCTAGTTTTGTGTAATAAATCTTTGTTATTGTTTTCTTGGGTAATTAGTACATTTTATTTTTGAAAAAGAAGATATACAGTATAGTTCAAAACATACCCAATGGGCATACGGAGAAATTCTATAATCCATTCTACCAAGAGAAAATAGAACTCACAACACAGTAATGTGTGCCTCAACAGGCATCGATGGACAGGACGTTATGAAGCTCATTTATGGGACAAAGGGTCCTGGAATCCAACACAGAAAAAGAAGGGAAAACAAGGTTGGATGTTCTACACATTGCTAGTTTCAAGCGTTCATAATCAGTTAGCTTTCCTATTCTACTATTACTGATTGCTTGTGCTTTATTTTTTTTCTCTGATCATCTGATGGTGCATTGAAAAAAATTTCGGGTGGAGCAGTTTATCTTGGTGAGTAATTCGATTGCAAGTAATTTGAAGATTTTTTCACTTTTAGAGAGAGAGAGAGTACTTATATGGGCAACACTTAAACTTTTCTGTGGCTAATTTATGATCAGGAGCTTATGATGACGAAGAATGTGCAGCAAGATCCTATGATTTGGCTGCAATCAAGTACTGGGGAGCATCAACTTTCACAAATTTCCCGGTATAGTTATCATACGATAACTTGATAGTTTCGTATTTTTGAGGGGTTAATTGATGGGGGTGATGGATCAAAGACTGATTAATTACTCATTTTTCTCAGGTTTCTGATTACAAACAAGAGATCGAGATTATGGAGAATCTAACAAGAGAGGAATATTTGGCTTCATTAAGAAGGTATTTAATTTTTGGAAATACAAGATCACTAGCCTTAATGCTGGATTGGATTGGATTGGATTGGATTCAATTCCAGAATTAATTGAATCTTTTCTTTGTTAATTCTAGGAGGAGCAGTGGTTTCTCAAGAGGTGTCTCCAAGTACAGAGGGGTTGCAAGGTAAACAGACATTTTTCACCTTAATAGTTTTTGACCTTTCCGTTGTTGCTAATGAGTATACATGTTTACACTAAGGTTGCTTTTCGATTAACTCCAGGCACCATCACAATGGTAGATGGGAAGCTAGGATAGNGGTTGAGATTATCAAGTCTAATTTTTAAGTCTACTTTTTAAGTCCATGTAGTATTACTCNTTAACTCCAGGCACCATCACAATGGTAGATGGGAAGCTAGGATAGGGAGGGTGTTTGGAAACAAGTATCTCTACCTTGGCACTTACAGTGAGTCTCTCTCTCTCTCGCTCTCTCATCTGTTTGTTATTCTAATGAAATAGATTACATTATTTTAAGTATCACNGCTAGGATAGGGAGGGTGTTTGGAAACAAGTATCTCTACCTTGGCACTTACAGTGAGGCTCTCTCTCTCTCTCTCTCTCTCTCTCTCATCTGTTTGTTATTCTAATGAAATAGATTACATTATTTTAAGTATCACATTGATTATATGTAGGGCTGATAGTCGAACGAGCTTAAACGAATTCGAGTTAAGCCTAAAAAATCGTTCAAATCTGGTTTGTTTTCGAACGAATCGAGCCTGAAAGAGTTCAAAACGAGTCAAACCTGAATATTTGCGCATAAACGAGTTGAGGCTGTCAAGTTCGAGCCAAACCTATCGGGCTCGTTTGTTGTTCACATTCCGCTCGTTTAGNTAAGCCTAAAAAATCGTTCAAATCTGGTTTGTTTTCGAACGAATCGAGCCTGAAAGAATTCAAAACGAGTCAAACCTAAATATTTGCGCATAAACGAGTTGAGGCTGTCAAGTTCGAGCCAAACCTATCGGGCTCGTTTGTTGTTCACATTCCGCTCGTTTAAAAAATGAGTCTAGCTCGAACAAGTAAAAAATAGCCAAACTCGAGTAATTCGGCTTGATTAACAGCTGTAATTATATGTTGGCGTCCTCAACATTTTTCTGACCCTATATCATGGATGAAACCATAAGACAATCAAAATGCTAACCCAACGAAATCCGAGTTTATTCATGACTAGAACCTTGGGATTTTCATTTTCTTAAGGTTCATACATGCACTGATCCAATCGATGAACTGGGAGAAGAGCGACTACTCTGCCTAGATGATCTTCCTGCCGCCGGGGTTTCTAACAAGTTAAAAGATAAATTGTCAAGCTTGGATTCTTTAGGGTTTTCATGAATTATTAAGGTTTATGTGGCCTAAAAAAGATTCTGTTTAATCTCTTGCAGGTACCCAAGAGGAGGCTGCTCGTGCTTACGATATTGCAGCAATCGAGTACAGAGGGATCAACGCGGTAACCAACTTTGACTTGAGCTCATACATAAGATGGCTAAGGCCAGTTACCAACTCACTTCCCTCTCAGGGTCCAATTCCAGGATCAGACTCAGACTCTCAGCTTCTACAAACCACCTCTAACTTCATTTATTCAAATGATGACCCTGATCAGTTCTCTTTCCACTCTAATCATTCTCCAACAATGACACAAATGGCCATTCCTCTTCAAAAACAAGAAATTATTGAGAGAAAGATACCCATTAGTCCCAGCAACACATCATCTCCCCGAACGGCACTTGGCGTACTTCTCAGATCTTCCATGTTCAGAGAACTGGTGGAGAAGAATTCTAATGTTGCTGTTGAAGAAACTGAAGAAAATGACACCAAGAACCAACAACAAAGTGCCAGAGACAATGAGTTCAAAGAGATATATTACAGGGGAATTAACAGTAGTCCATATATCTGTTCTTCCAGTGGTATATAATATGTTTCTGGGCTTCGAGTCACCGGAGGTGAGCACATCCCCGTTGTCTGATCGGACAGGGAAGCCCTTCTGGATGATGTCTAAACCATGCCACCCATATCCATTAACTAACAGTTTTGTAAAGTTGTGATGATTGTGAGGATCATAAGTGTCAGTCAACCAGACAGGTGTGATGAAGACTGGTTTTTACCTATGTAGAAGCAGTGGCAGCAACTAATGGAGAGTTGTGTACACTGAAATAAACTCTCAAGTTTTTCGGTTCATGAAAGCATCCAGATGTATTATGCAGTCAATATCTATTCAATGGCAAGCGTAGCTTATTGTCACAGGCTTGCACTATTCAAGCTTCCCGTACGTGTCAGTTATTATGGAGTTTTGCATAGCTCTGAATATTAAAAATGGGGCTTGGTTTTGCTGGTTAATTTGGAATGACTTCATACACAATTAATAGACTCAAATTCCCCAGAACCACAATCCCCGGATATTTTGCGCAGCATCTTCAGCAAGCAATACTTATACAAAAAGCCAATCACATTACCAGAAGCCAACTCCAATAGGTACAACCACTGATCGGTTAATCTACTGGTATCATCATCATTGCTTAATCACTATGGTAGTAAAGGGTTGAAGCTCTTCTGGGGTGGCGCGCGCGCGCACACACACACAGGGGGTATTGGGAGAAGCTGAGACCTCGGTTATGATTGGGGTGGGAACACCAATCCAAAAAATGGGGTGAGAAATGACTGGAAAAGCAGAAACAAGTCCAGATACACTCGATCATCATCAACAAATCCAACCATCAGTTCCCAACTATTTGGCGAATTAAGTCGCACACATAAATAAGGAATAGACAAGTTTTGAGTAAACTGTACAGATGACCTTTAAATTATGACTTTTATGTCAATTAAACCAGTAATTTTTTTTTTATATCAATTAAACCTTTGAACTCTCTTATTATATCAATTAAGTCATTATATTTCCCTTCGTTAAATTTCCTTAAAGAAAGTGGCAAAACATGCCACCGACACAAATGGTCAAACTAAACTACACATATATCTCAAATTATAATCCTTATTTATGTCATTTAACCCTATTTTTTTTTTTTGTATCAATTAAACTTCCAAAATCTCTAATTGTATGAATTAAACCCTTCTACTTTTTTGTCACATAGCCACGTGAGCAACACTCTAATGAATACAAACAAAAAAGCTCAATTGAGACAAAAACATTTGAGATTTAATTGGTACAAATATCATAATTTGAGGGCCATATGTATACTTTACTCAAAAGCTAGTGTTGTACTACTTAACTGTCTGTGTGTGTGTGTGTAAGAGAGAGAGAGAAGAGGGGGGAGGGGGGAAACCAGCCTGGGTAGTGCACAAGTTCAGTCCAGAACCATTTTTTTTAATTCTGATAGAAAATACAAATTCCTTTTGCCAATCACTTACTCTTACACCGTTTTCTCTTCCCCATATTTGAATGGTTATTGAGAAAAAGTACCCGTATGCAAAAAAAGTAATGCTACACTGACCAAATTTTAAGACCAAATATAGAGCCCAAATGACATGACAGTTGATTATTTGAAATTTTTATTCGGACCCAAGTGACACGACACCAATCAAAGAAACCCAAGTCAACTGTCATGTCATTTGGACTTCATATTTGGTCCCAAAGTTTAATCAGTCTAGCATTATTGATGCAAAAAAAGACACCACTTCGACCCATAAATCTCCAGAATAAATGCATCATTCACTTCGTGCATGTGCCGTGTTGTTTGGAGAGAGAGAGAGAGAGAGAGAGTTCAGCTTGATATTAGACTTATACATCAAACTCGAATAAAAAGGCACCATCAAAAAAGTACATACCTGATGAATCGATATAAAACAAATCCACAACTTCGATTTTGTACACTAGAAACTTAGTAAGCTAATGTACGTACGATGCAAGGCTCTTGTAATTGGAACATACAGAATCTTCTTCAATGTGCACGCACGAAGAAGGAAAGCCACGTGTCATCCTTTAAAATGTTTAAATCAACACTTGGTTGATGCCGTCCTGAATCAAGTCCACATAATTAATGGAAGGTGAAAAGAACAGTATTGTCAATGTAAAAGCCTAAAAAATGGAAAGTAGGAGATTAAATAAGTTTCGACAAAAACATTAAAAAGTTACTAATTCATTCGAAACCTGTGCAGCAGCAGGTAGTAGCACTTCTAAGTTCTAACACTCGCACATATTAACACCCTCAAACTCTCCGGAATTTATGCTTACACTACACCCACTAGGTATAATAGTTTGCATCCGCATATCACACGTTATTGTTTCACTCAGCAAACAGACCATAAGAATACAAATAACCCCCCCCCCCCCCCCCCCCCC